CCCATGAAGTATTTTCTGGGCCAGTTAATTTTATTCTCAGAGGGAAATTCTCTCTCCCCCCCCCCCCCCCACAACCTTCTTGGCTTCCCTGCTATGCTTTGTGAAGGACCACTGTGAACTTGTTGTTGCTGTTACACTGCATTTATATCACATTTTTCCTCTTTGAAGGGATCCAAGACAACTTGCATAGTCCTCCACCACTCCATGGTATCATCATGACAACAACCCTGTGAGGCAGGTCAGGCTAAGAGAGGGTGGCCCAAAGTCACCTAGTCAGCTTCATGGCCGAATGGGGACCAGAACCCGCGTCTCCCAGGACCCCAATCAAACCTTCTAACCACAAGCAAAGGTGCATAATTGCTTTCAGCTCAGCGGTCCCCAGAGTGTGCCAGTTAAACCAGTGAGTGGAAGGGAAAGGGGATGCCATATTTGTACTAAAGCATTGGTGCTTTTGACACTCTCAACAAAGTTCACACACACACAGCTGCGTTCACCCAGCAGAGCGCATGTTGGCCTTTCTTGGTTACTACTTGAAGCACTACAAAAGCATTAAAACAATTTGGCCAGAGAACAGCCCCCGCCAAAAGGAAAAAAAGAAAAAATCGCCATCATTAAAACATGTTCCAAAGCAAGTCAGTGCTGTGCACAATCAGCCCTTTAAGAAGCCATCCAGACGCAGTTCTGCACCCAGCATAGTCAGAGGGGCTGCAATGACGGTGCAACCTACACAGGCAAGGATGCCCAGTCGCCCTAGAAACGCCTCTCTTCTCCTTCCTCGTCCATCAGCGGGCGCTACCATGAATAACACAAGGAGGCTGCAGGCTGATCTGAGACACAGAGATGCAGGCTATGGGATCTGCTTCTCTTCCTTCCTACCAAGCAGAGCCGGGTGCAAAAGGCAGGTCCCCAGGAGGAAGGACTACTGAGCCCGACCACTGGCTTTGAACGCTAGCACTGAATGCAGCTCCTGGTCTTCCGGAGGAGGTCTCCTCCTAGGTGCAAAACAGCTGCAGCATGTGGAGCACTGCCAGTCCGAGCCGGGGCTTCACCCAGGCAGTTCTGAGAAAGGCAGGGCTGTGCTCACGGGAGCCCCCCCCCCCCCCCGCATCTGGGTTCCTCCCTCTCCCTGCACATCACAGCTCACCCCACTTCCGATCCCCTGTATGGCCATTTCAAGGAGCTGGAGGGGCTGGTGTGCAAAGGAGGGCCCGGGGGAATAGGGCCCCATTGCATATTCATTTCCCTTCGCAAGAAGCTGCGATCTGGCTGAGGGATTCAGTGCAACTGTGTTCCTGATGCAGGACGCATCCCTCCCCTTCCGCCCACTTCTCCGCACCCCCTTCATCTACGCTCCCACTGTTTCTCAAGATTGCCTCCCGCTAAAGCAGCCCTTCCCCCCCTGATGCCCTTCAGAGGTGCTGGACTATAATCCCCATCATCCAGGCTGAGTTGCGGTTCAATGCGTCTGCAGGGCTCAGATTGAGGAAGGCAAAAAACGACAGCAATAACTCAGGGCTGCTTGGAGAAATGGTGTGCGTGGCAGGACAGAGGCATGGAATGCCTTGACGGCGAGCACCTCTAGTGGGGGGAAGAGCAGAACCCCACAAGGTAGGAGGGCCTGAAGCATCCAGCTGACAGTGAAGAACAGACTCAAGCAGTGGCTGATGGAAGCTGCCCTTTGCTGCACGGTGGCAGCCTGGTCCACTCCCTGATTCTAGCCAGAGTTCTGCATCCTGTTCTCTAAAACTGTGAAATTCTCCCACAAATTAATCCAGATTCTACATTAAGAAAAGCCCAGTTCTGCAACCTGCTAAAATTATGCAAATTAATAAAATGTCTCCTTTTGTTTTGCATAAATTATCCTGCTTTTTAAAAGCAAACACACAACTTTTTTTCCCTTTTTGCATCATCTTTCTTTGGAAGAACTGGGGGAACAATCTTTTGTAGGTTTTGACAGAAGAAAGCCTAAAACTTGCTGCTAAGTGTTTTAGTCCTTTTTTCCCTTCAAACTTGCATTGGATTGTACTTTGAGAATTCTGCATGGAGTCAAAACTCTCTTTGGCTTCAGAGAGTTAGGCCGGCATGCTACACAACGCACGCTGTTGTAACTGAAAAGGCTACAACTTTGTCCCCCCCCCGCCCCCGTCTCTCTTTTTGCAACAGGAAAGCTGAGATTCTTAGAAGGTTGAATTCAGGCTCCATAACCACATTCTGACAGTTGCTTGTGCTCCTGCAGAACTGCAGTGTACACACAGCTGCATAAGCCTACAGATAATTTGTGTTTAAAATTAAAATCAGTTCCTGCATTAAATTAACCTAAGTTCTATGTCAAGAAAAGCTGAAGTCTAGCAACTTGTGTAAATGCTGGAAATTGAGCACATTTACATACATTTGCCTATTTGCATAATTTATCTTGGAAACGGGCAGTCACATTTAAGAGAGCTAGCAGCAGATTGAGAAAGGTTTTACCTCCCTGTTCCTATGCTGCACATTTTATTTTTGTTAATTCCTGTTGCCATTTATGTTTCACCAGTTCTGATAAACATGTTTTACCTGTTGCCATTTGTGTTTTATCAATAGGCAGGTTACAGAAGACCTGCCTATTGCTATTGCTTCTCTCTCTCTCTCTCTCTCCCTCCCCCTCCCTCAGGAAGGTATAGCAGTAAACAGAGAACAAATGCATGGCATCTTCACATCACAAGCTTCCCCACTGCAGCATCATCGGAACAGAGGCTGCCCACCCCAAAACAGGGCACCAGCCCCAAACAGGAACCTTGGCAGTGACAAGAAAGAAGTCAGGGACGAGGCTGATGAGCTGCAATTATACTTTAAGCAGTAATTCCCAACACATATCTGCTGTCTTCCTCCTGACACATTTGAAGAAGCAGCGCCTCTTCAGACAGAATATTAGGAGGAGATGCAATTTTGCATTGACTGAATGCCCTGGATGAAGGCAGAGAAATGCCCTGGGGATTCTGAAGGGCTGTCTTCATGGGTGGCCATGCTGGGCACCTGCTAAGGGCCCAGAACCCAGCAGCCTCCCCCACCACCACCCACCAAGAGCTTCCTGGACCTGTGTCTCCTCTTAGCCACTGCAACCTGCTCCTTCATCTGCCTCCAAGACTTGCAGCTGGCACCGCTCACTTGCCACTCTCTAGAATCCAGTCTCCAGTCTCCAGGAGGCACTGGCCACTCTCTAGAATCCAGTCTCCAGTCTCCAGGAGGCGCCTGGTGTTGCCTCTAAGCTGCAGTTCCACCCTGAAGGAATGCAAACAAGTCCCGAACCAGAAGCAGAGGCACGCTGCAAGCAACAGCTCGCCCTCCAAACCCCCACGAATTCTGAACCCTCACCCACCACACACGATCAGCCTTTCTTGAACTCATCATGTCAGCAGAGATACTCACTATTGTGCACACGTTCTTGAGCTTATACTAGAAAGGATTACAAACTTAAAAAGAAAAGCAACAAAAAAACTCTGGATGCTAAATTCTACTCCCTGTGAGTGCAGAAGGACTGAATACACAAAACCCTGATTATAATTCCATTTGAAACAGAGCCTTGGAAGTCAGGGTTTCCCAAGATGCAATCGTTAATAACAGCTTCAGAATATGGAAAAGCAGTAAAATAAAATAAAAATAGAACAAAGACATACAGAAGGAAAAACTCAAGCACACAAGTCTTTTGTTCAACCCATATTCAGCTGAGAGATAAGCAGGATGTGTGCATGGGGATGGGGGATGTCATCAGTCGTCAGCAAAGCTAGGGAAATTGCCAAGAAAAGATTTTCTGAAAAGTGCAAAAAGAAAAAAAAAAAAAGGAGAGAGAACATCATTGATTTAAAGAGCTGGCAGGTGTTCCAAGCAATGATTATTATTTTTTCTACAGGAGGAAATAGATACCCCCAACGAATGAAGAAACAGAGCCAGCAATTCCATTCCCTCTTCTTGGTTTCTGTCTACAGACAACAGTAAGTTACCTGGCCGTGGACGCCATCAGAAGACGCAAATCTTAAGCTCCGTGTGTTAAAGGATAGGGATCCCATGCATCAAAAACTTAGCAGACTTGGCTCAGTGACCTTACAGTTCTTCCAAGGACTCTAATGCAGCATCTTGGCATTGGAGAGCAGCGTTGACTTCAAGTGTTGGCTCTTGGAAAGTTTTCATGGAGGAAGCTGGAACGGTGTCTGTCTCTCTCGTGATCCCTCCCCGACACAAGGTGACCTCTCTGCCTAAGCTAGGGGAAGTCACCTCCCAAGACCACTAAGAGTTTGCCTGGCTGTGGGTTGCTGAACTGGCCTGCAAATCTATAACAATTTGGGGAAATGAATTTCCTCCTTTACTGCAGAGGTTCTTAGCCCAGTATGAGCTGAAGAAAGAGAGAAGAGAAGAGAAGAGAAGAGAAGAGAAGAGAAGAGAAGAGAAGAGAAGAGAAGAGAAGAGAAGAGACGAGAAGAGGAAGGCCTCCTAGATGCAGTCAACTGAAATTTTCACCCTACCCAAGAGCAAAAGAAGGATAATAATAATAATAATAATAATAATAATAATAATAATAATAATAATAATCCCGTTGTGAAACCATCATTCTCAGATCCGCGCATTTGAAAGATGAAAGGTCCAACCAGCCCAAAGAGGATGGACACGCTGGATTAAGTCGCAGAGGTGGGGGCAGGGAGCGATGGTTGCAGTTAACCCTTTAGAGCCCTGTGTTTTTTCAGTTGTGTTAAATAACAAGTTCGCCTGGAAGTGTCTGAGATGGAGTGTGAAGATAAATGGCTGTAGAAACAAATGCATATTTTTATTTTGTTTTGTTTTCTTCTATCCCTCACAGTGATGGGGTTCTTGATAAATTTCATTTCCCTCTCTCTTCATCTTTTCCAGAAAGTAGAGACGCTTCTCACTTTCTCTCTCTCAACCTCTCTCTCTCTCTCTTTCCCCCCTCTCTTGTTTTCTTTCCCTTTCACCTGTTTCTTTCCCTTCTTCTGCTTCATTGCCAAGCTGCCCTAAATCTTAAACAGCACAGTCACAAAGGCAGATGAGAGCAGGCCCAAGAAGAGGGACGATCCCACGTTGGCTGCTGCCATGTTTTCCAAGGAACCTGGTCCTGAGGGGAGAAGAAAAGGGGTGCACCGTTGCTACTGCTTTGGTTTTCGTTGCAATGTTAGAAATCAAGCCCTGAATCCCAAGATGCGTCTTTCAGGAAGGAATGCAGAATCCTTCTCTGACCACCATTGGATACCCACGGAGCTGCCTTGTGGCGTGTCAGGGTGAGGAATGCCGCAAAACTGGGCCTTGCAGCCCCCTCCGATTGGCCGTCGCTTTGCAGGGTCTCAGCTGGAGCCCTTCGCCTTCCCCTCCCTCTGCGTCCTTTCAAAGGAGAGGCGCCGGGGCCCTGCTCCGTGTAAGGCGCACAGTCTGCAGCCGAGCCGAGGCTTCCCCGGTCTCACAGTGAGGCAAACAGAGCACAGGTGCTCTGCCGTTGGCATGGTTGGAGCAGAGTAAAGAGCCCGGGCTTCTTGTTTCTTTTGTCAAAGGAAAACAAAGGACGATTCATTTACATCCCACACACCCAGTAAATGGCCAAGAGCCAGGCTGAGGGCGCAGAAGCTACTGCCAGAATATCTGGACAGTCAAGGGTACACGGATCCTGTGAATCCCCTGGGAGGAAAGGGTCCTTCCTTGTCCTGCATGCAGCCGGGCTTGTTCCAAAGCATTCTGGCAGAATGAAATGGATCTGTTCCCAGAAACACTTCTCTACGACTGTTGAGGTCACTTGTTCTCCAGTTACTGGTAGGGTTCCAAAACAAGATAAGCGACACCCTAGGACTGAGGAAGGGTTGAGGTGAACCACGGGTGATCGTGAACCTAGCTGAGATGACAAACCACGGTGAAAACCCCACAATTCACAGCCCATGAAGACATCATGAGTTCTCCTCATGGGTTGTTCATGGTCAATTTGCTATGGCTTGTTAGCACAGCTGAGTTCAGACAACACAATAGCCCATACCCAACAGCAATCCGTGGTTCAATGACAACCTAGACAACCTAACCCATGCTCCACCCTTGCATATACCATTTGCTTAAGATATGTGTGGGAACAGAGGTAGCAGTGGAACATTTTCACACCATTGTCTTCTATACACCAATCCCAGATTGTGCCCCTGCCTGTCCACTTCATTTTCTCCCTTGCCTGACTCTGTCACAGAACCTGTGCTCCTTCGGTCGGGCCCACATCCTGCACCAGCACCCTCGATGATCCCCACAGAATTCTTCCTGCAACACCATTTTTTCCTCAGCCCAGTGTAACAGGGTAGTAGGAACTAGGTAGTAGTGGGTAGTAGGACAGAAAGGTCTTCTCCACTTCAGGACTCCTAGAAGGTGATCTCCTGCAGAGGAACTTCTAAGCCTGTGTGGCTTAGCAGCATGGTGCTCTCCAGATGGACTGCAATTTGCATTAGCCACAGGTAATGCACTGAGGATGATGGGATAGACACCTGGAGGGCACCAGGCTAAGAAAACTAATCCAAGCCATGAAAGTCTAGTGGCTTTTTGCCAGCAAGACATGGGAGGTACACCAGTCTCTTGGCTTGTTTCCCATCTACCCTACTCGAACTGGGACTATCAGACCTTTGGGTGAGCTTTGGCCCCAGTCATTCAAAATTCAAGGGGCTCCAGTCTTCTGAAACTGCTGTGGGCCATGGAGAGGCCTGCTCAAGGTCAAGACACAACCCCAGTAGTCACCATGGAGAGACTCACTGATAAGTCGTAAGCTGACGTTGAATGAGCCCAAGTGGTTTGAAGCCAGGCAGGTGTAGTTCCCATAATGCCGAGCAGTAACGTTGGTGAAGAGCAGGATGGATCGAGTGCGCTCATTCTGGATCTGCATTCCATCGGAGCCACCAATTAATCTGCTAGGAAGAAGCAAAGAGGGAGACCAAAGGAGGGAGACATAGTTAAAGCATCATGCTCCAAGAAAACAGATGATATCTTCAAAAGAATTGTTTGTGAATCATCTTACAACTGATCCAGTGCCAGATTATCCACTTCCTGGATTCTTTGTGTGAGAGCTAAGCACTTTCCTTATGAGAGAACCTTCTTGCTGGGGGGGGGGGGGGGGGGGGTGGCTGCGATCACACCCGTCTTCCCTGCACAAGCACAATCACGATTGCAGCCCTCTCTCCCCCCCCCACCCCAAGCACCATCGCTATCACACAATTATCATTTGGACTCTCCCTCCAAACAATAACTTCCCCCACCTAGGTTAAAAAAATGGTTACAGAACGGATTGACCTTATTTACATTGAACCTTATGGGGAAATTTAACTTGGCTCATGACCAATTTGGGTCACGACCAGAGTCCTGGAACGGGTTAAGTTCGTGAGCCGAGGTACCACTGTATAGTGGTAACAATGCAATTAAATCCATTTCAGTTCCAGAAATAAGGATAAGGAATGGCTAAATCTCCAAGGCCCGATATATTCCTGGAAGGTGGTTTACCAAGCTGGACTTCCTATTGCTTCCATACCCCTTGGCCCAGGTGCCTTTTACTCCAAGGAACCTGTCATGTCTCATCAAACAAATGGATCTCAAACAGTCTGCAGCAACTCCTGCCTGCATGAACTCACTTTGACCACAAATCTGTCTATACTCTGGTAAATGCACCCCCTTTAAAAAATAAGTGATGGGGGGAGGCAATGGCAGGTGCATTAGGAGGTGAGATCTCAACTTGTACAGCTTTCTCTGGCATGGAAATCTCCCCCTGTTAATGCCGTTTCTTATCTTTCTTGTTCAAGGGGATAAAGTGTCCTGGAGAAAAAGTGTCCCAAGTCTGCAGCTCAATGCCTGAATGAGAAGCTTGTTTGAGCACGAGCGTTGCCCATGTGCATCGTGTTCGAGTTACATACTATGCGCTGGCCGATTACTTGCTCACACCATGCTATCTGTTATTAACAAAAACAACAAATTACCAGTTTACATTCACTAGCTGATTTCTAAGATCCCATCTGCCTCCTGGGGACCCAACCTTCTCAGAATGGATGCTCGGATTTTTTTAATCCCAGTTATGGCCTAACCAATGGTCAGTGCCAAAGGAGAGGCATTCAGGATGCACTAAAATGCATCTTTGCTCTAACTTCACATGGACAGGGTGAAGCCATGGATTCAGGGGTCATCCACGCTCCCATCTTCCAGTGCTCTTATTATGTAAAGGTTAGTCAAGGCCATGGTTTTCCCAGTTGCAATGTAAGGCTGTGGAAGCTGGACCATAAGGAAGGCTGAGCGCTGAAGAATTGAGGCCTTTGAATGGTGGTGCTGGAGGAGACTCCTGAGAGTCCCTTGGACCGCAAGGCAATCCAACCGGTCAGTCCTAGAGGAGATCAACCCTGACTGCTCTTTAGAAGGCCAGATGCTGAAGATGAAACTCAAATACTTTGGCCACCTGATGAGAAGGAAGGACTCCCTGGAGAAGAGCCTAATGCTGGGAACAATAGATGGCAAAAGAAGAAGAAGACGGCCGAGAATGAGGTGGCTGGATGGAGTCACTGAAGCAGTTGGTGTGAGCTAAGTGGACTCCGGGGGATGGTGGAGGACAGGAAGGCCTGGAGGAATGTTGTCCATGGGGTCGCGATGGGTCAGACGTGACTTCACAACTAACAACAAGCCATGGAATGTGCTCACCAAAGGTGACTGAAACAGAGATGCTGGCAGCATACTCTCGATCTAAATCAGCAACCCACCAGCTGTTCATCCCCCAAGAAAAGAAATAGAGGCATGGATAGATGGACGGATAGTCTGGTTTAAAACAAGGCAACTTCCTCATAATTTTGCTGTCACGTGACTAGGAGAGTTACCTTCAAGGGGACTGGGAGTTCATTGAGACTGGAAAAGGAGTTAAACACTCCCTCCTTCAACTCTGTTGTTCTAATTACATTAAGCAACCCTCATGGCTGTTTTAAAAGAAAAACAGAAAAGTTAGGAGATCTGATCGCCATTCTCCAGCATAATATGAAATTTGGTCCTTGGCTCCAGCTCAAATTAAAGAGCATTTGCTTGTTAATCAAACCCAATTTTGGGATTTTATGGTTTCTACTGATTTGATTGTATAGACGCCATTCCACATTGCTTTTACTGACAGCTATTGAATCTCCATTTTTATGTCCTCGCAGTCGTGGGTGGCTTCCCCTCCCTCTCGTTCTCTCATTTGATGTTCAGCGCACCCACAGCCCTGTCGCTATTTCCTAATAAAATAAGATAAAGAGCAGTGGCTTCGTTTTCCGGAACTGTTCTAACCACAAACAATTCCCCCGAGAGGCGCGAGGTTTGAACCGTGAACTTTTATCGCCAACCGAACATGGGAACATTAAAGAGAAACAAATGGGAGGTTGATCTGGAGATAGCTGCCAATCATCTTGTCAGATGCCAATCTCCTGCAAAGCTGGAAGAAGGAGGCCAGAGCTGCTCAGGTAGCTCAGGGGGTGGGGAAAGCAGGCGCTGTCTCTCCCTCCCTCCCTTCTTCAAGAACTTCTGCTTTGCCTTCCGTAACTCCTTGCCACTCAGCTGCCGTTCTCACTGTGAGGCGACCCCTCTGCCTCCCAAGTGTGGAAATCACACAATGGCGCATCCAGTCAGGGCGTTGTGGGCTTGCTCCACACCACCATACATGTTGCTGATTGAGGACATGAGGAATGGCTCATTTCTCCCCCCTGTTCTCCCCACATATTTAGCGAGCAAGCCTTCAGGTTCACAATGGGGAGCAAAAGAGCAGTCCAAGAGACCTGGGAGATAACAGGGCGAAGACACGTTCTGTGTTTCGTGCCCAAAGCAGCCATGGGCTTAAAAGTCCGAAGGAAAACCCCAGATCATCAGTTTGGGAAGCAGATGCCACTCCACAGCTGAGGTGGAGGTGGGGAGGTGTTGCAGTGTCCCTGCAACATACTTTTATGGCAGGGCTGGGAACACGTGGCCACATCTAGGTGCTCTTGGACTGCAATTCCCATTGGTCAGCAGAGCCCATGGTGAGGACTGATGCAGGTTGCAGCTCAGCAAAACCTGGAGGACTGCACACTCCCTATCCTGTTCTAGGGGATTTTAGCACAGCACAGAAACAGTGCTAGATGATGCACCAGGGAAGCCCTGACCTATCTGATCTTTGTACATGGGTGGGCAACCCGTGGCCCTCCAGATTTTGGGGGGCACACAGATCCCATGATCCCTCACCATTGCCTAGGCTGTCTCGAGCTCCTGGGAGCTGTGGGCCCAAACACCAGGCTAGAGAAGGCTGATTACCTCCATCTGATATATATCTTCATATATCATCCGGTTCTACCTTACTGAGAGGATTGAAGGATTATGGCAACGGTTTACACAAAGTGTGCTTTTTGCACGTAGAAAACAGTGCTACATGAAAACAACACATCATGAGTAACAGTTGCCCTTCAGACGTTCTTGGACTACAACCCACATCATCCTCAGCCATTGGTGCTGCTGGCCATTGCTGATGGGTCTACCCACTGTTATAGACTGGGTTTCCCCAACCTGGTGCTTGGGGAAGTGTTGGACTAAAACTCCCATCACCCCACAGCGCACCGGAGTGCTGGAGGTTCCAGCTGATGCAGATGCAGCGCCCCACAACCTTATCATTCCTGGCCCAGGAGCTGGGGCAGTGGGAGTGGGGGCGCCATGCACCTGGGGGGCACCAGGATGGGAAAGGCGGTAACAGCCGCACCGCTTCACGTCCATCAGCTGAGGAGACCTGAGCCACGGCCTGGCTGGCTGCTTAACAACCCCTCTGTTTTGTAGTCACAGACAGGCCGCCAAAACGGCCGATTTATCAAGCCCCCCCCCCCCACCCCCAGGGAACGGGGCACTGCACATGACTGATAGGTCGTGTTCTGCTTGGCGGGCCTCGAATTAATCTGCATATAGCAATCATGAGTACGTGCCATGAGTTTGTTTAATAAGATTGCCATTTGGAAGAACAAAGCCAGGGATACTGTCTCGCTAATGAAGCTGCTTTACACCAGCTCTGGCTATTTGTCCTTCTAGTACCCAGCGCTTGGCCACCTGCAGAGGCTGCCCCCTGTTTCCGGGCCCAGTCCAAAATCTGGCCTTCTTGGTATCCCAGCTGGGCTCTCTGGGGTTCTTCAGGCACACACTAAAACTCACAGCCCCCTAATTTCGGTGCCTTTTCTTGGCTTTTGTGCAGCTTGACCCTCGTTTCAAAGGGCTTCGCAATCGACAATAAGAGCTTCAAATTCCCTTTTGCCTTTTCCCCTACTCACCACTAGCATGAGGCCCTGAAAGCTTCTCCAAATGTGCGGCAAAATGTTCCACACCTCTTATTTACAGTCCTGAACAGCTCTGCTCCCACCTTTTGCCCTGTACACCTTCCTGGATTTTACATGCATCTTCAGATACTCTTCTTCAGGTGGCTATTGGAAACAGTAAAGCCCTAGCTGTGGATCATAGTCCTTGGAAAGGTGCCCACATGGTAGTGCTTTCCTATATGTCCTTTTAATTTTTTAAAAATTTGGTGCTTTAATGCTAGCCGATTTTTGCGCAGGCATGGGAAGCTTGTGCTCCTCCAGATGTCAGAATGCCGTTCCTCAGCATTCTGGTGAGGACTGCTGGAACTTGCAATCCGAAACATCGGGGGAGCCACGTGGCCCCCTTGTCTATTTTGGTGCGTTTAAATGATTCCTTGAACCAGCATGATTTGCTGCTGTTGTTTCAATGTGGTTTTTAGATTTTAGGTTTGTGCCTTATTACTTCATGCTTTTCCTTTCCCACCTGGCACAGTAGATCACCCAGGAACCTCACCGACGGAGCAGCAGAGAAATATGGAATGGATCCAGTCATACTTGAAGGGCACCTGCTGAAATCAGTGGACCTTAAGCCAAGCGTGAATAAATTCTCCTACTGGTTCAATATACCTACTCTACACACGAGTAAGGGCACGATCCTTTGCATGTTGAGAGAGGAAAAAGGCCTACGGCGCCCAGCCAGCTATTTGCATCTACCCAAAGTAAATTCAATCAAAAGCAAAACAGAATTACTTCAAACATTGTCTGGCCTGAGTGAGGTAGCCGCTCTATGGGATTTCAGGTAGCATCCCCCGCAGCTGCTACCGTACCTTGATCCTTTCCACTGAACCTGGGAGTGTCGGCATGCAAAACCTGTGCTCTACTGCTGAGCTTCAGTCACTGTCCACACTTACTGGCCAAGCCTTCCTGCTGGCCTTCTGCTCGTTGAGTATTCGCTATGGGTGGAGGGAGAAGAAAATCAGCATTCGATGCTAACAAGGGAGCTGGCTTCCAGCTGGAAGCCAACCCGAAGTGGAGAACTGGGCCACCAGAGTATGGACCACCAGAGTATTCTGGGTGCATGCTAAGTTGTTGCTTCTGCAGAGACTCCTGGGACTGGCCACGGAGGATGCTCTGTCCCCAGAACACAGTGACTTGGTCAGCACTAGCAGCAGAACAAAATGGGAACAGACTCTGAGCTTGCTGAATGGGCTGCATCACATGAGGGCTGCAAGACAGAGGAATCCTGTTTCTGGATGCTGTCATGGCCCAGTTCCCAGAGTTTTCTTGTTGGGGAGAAGAAAAGGCTGTTCTGAGTGGCCCCTTAGAAGGACGCTTTAGGCCACAGAAGACTATTTGTCTACCTGGCCCAGTAGACAATACTGGACAAACTTGTTTGGGCAAGCAAGTGCCCAAGGGCTGCAATATGGACAAACAGGTGCCCAAGGGCCGCAGAATGAGTCTCCACTGCTCTCCAGGTGGACCTGCAGAGAAGGATTTTGCCCATCCCCTGCTTACCTGGTCCTCTGAACGGGAGATGCTATGCAGTGAACCTGGGACCTCTACCACTGACCTTCGGCCCGCTCCCAAAAGTCCCTGCTGACAAGCAGTGTCCAAGAAGAGCGCAAGGGAACGACTTACTGTTTGTCATCTTTGAACCACTGAAATTCCGCGGGTGGTACAGCCATGGCTTCACAGCGCAATAGGGCCATCTTTCCTATGGGGGGATGTGAGTCCTTCACATCCGTGATGGTTGGAGGGTCTGGCAAAAGGGAAGATGGAAGGGAGGGATGTATTAGCAGGGAAGGCATGCAGCATCCTCTTCTTGCCGGCCATGCTCATCAACTGATTGGCCATCTTGGTTAGTGATGTCACACAACAAAACTTCCTGAGCTCACTGAAGAGAAGGACTTGGCAGGGATTCATAAAGCTGGACAAGCCCCTCCATAAATCCAACCCAGAGAAGAATTTGCAGCGTCCCCTGCCTGTGTAGAGGGACCCTCCTATCTCCCAGAATCCCTTGGGTCAGGGCAGGCAAATGAGCCGTGTTCACCAGGATTCTCCTTATTTCATCTCACTGCCCATCTCATGCCTGATTTCTGTTTGCAGTTGCTGCTTGCTCAGCATAAATGGGAAACCCACACAGATCTCCCCCAGTTGGTACAGATTTTCTCCCTAGATTAAAGCAGGGTTGATTTAATCTGCACTAGTTTAACTGGGAACTGGGAATGAAATGGACAAGAGTACTTGCTCAGCAAGCTGTGAATATTTCCAGCGGACATGCACTCATGCTTGCTCTTGGAGTTTCAAACTGGGCACACATGCGTCTTTTGTGAGCACAAGCAATGTTCTCCTACAACGTTCTCCAATGCTCTCTTAGGAGAACCATGCCTCCCTGTTGCCTTGGCTCTCCATTAGCAGAGCAACGGGTTTTGGGAGACCTTGTAGCCAGATCCCTTTGCTGCTGCTCGTACTTCAGCAAAATTGAAGGGAAGGCGTGACTGTATTGGGGGGGTGGCACTGAAGAGCAGAGAAAGAGAATGGAGACCCTTCTGACCTGATGTCTTCCCATGGAGGCAGAAGAAAGATCTTGGGGGTGCTTCCTAAGTTGGTCTGAGCACTGAGCTTGCATCCCCACCTTGCTGGACTTTCCCAACCATTCTGAGCCTCTGCCTCTTCCCCCATTATTGCCAGCACCCCAGCGTCTTTCTCTGTGATCCAAGGTGGCGTTTGTCCCTGCTCCCGGCGCCACAGCAAGCCTACACGTGCAAGCAATCTCAGAATGCAGAAGGGAGGGGCGAGTACCAAAGCTGAGCGCTTCTGCCATATAGAATGGAAACTCTATGCAAGTAAATCGAGCACAATCTGGGGGAACAGTTCCAGCCAGCCATCTACCTGGATGCTCAGTTGCTACCTGTGGGGCCACGTGTTGTATTTGTCTGATGTATCGAAGAGCATGAAAACGGCATCTCCTGCATACTGCCAGAACTGGCATAGTGCATTCTACCCTTTTGCAACAATACCACCTCATTTGGCTGCGTGAATAAAGCAGCTCTGAACTTGGGTGCTGTCCATACAGTGACTCTTGCTCTGGTAGTCTCTAGGATAAATGGCTGCAGTGCACACTTCCTGGGGCTGCCCCGAAGACGGTTTGGAAGCTGCAGCATGTGCAAAACGTGGCAGCCAGACTAAGAACAGGGAACGGATGGTCTGTTCCTATAGCACCAATTCTGGCCCGCTTGCACTGGTTTCCCATATGCTTCTGAGCCCAATTCAAGGTGCTGGTTTTAACCTTTAAAGACCTGCGTGGATTGGGACGATAATGCAGATGGGACGCTTCTCCCAGCCTGCATCTGCCTCAACACTGTCATCAAGTTCTGGGGCCTTCCTTGGATTGCCACCTCTGAGTGAGACCCGGATGGTGGCAACAAGGAGAAGAGCCTTTCCAGTGGTGGCCCCCCAGTTGCAGAATGAGCTCCCCACTGAGGCTCACCTGGCACCAACCTTACTCTCTTATCAGACTGCCCTCTACTGCAGGGCATCTAATTAGTCATTCAGGCCTGCTGGTGTGGTAGACTGGGTTTAACAGGGGCTTTGCAAATTCATGTAATTTTTGTTTTAAATTTGGTTTCAAATTTCGTATTGTTAATGTTTATGATGTTGTAATATGTTTTAATTGTGTATTTTAAATTGTTTTTAAATATGCTGTTGTGAACCACCCAGAGAGCTTCAGCTGTTGGTGGTAGAGAAATTAAATGCATGCGTGCATACAGACATGGGTTGTATGAACTGGAGGGGGAGGCCACAGGGGCATAAGGATGGCGCCTACATTCTCTTCCATTTAGTTGCTAATACCGTCTTTAGTATGTGTGTCTTCATTACTTAGACCAGGAAAAAAAACCATAGGAAGAAAGCTAGTTTTGGGGAGCAAAAGGATGTGGGGGGGCAAGGATTTAATCTATGCTATGTAGGTCCTTGTGGATTGGAACCAAGATCTGCCTTGTACAAGAGCAAGAGGCCTCCTCAAGAGGAAGGGCTGTGCTTTGTGGAAGGTCTCCTTGCTACGTTTTTGGGATCTCCTCTCCCCAACATTCAGCAAAGCCTCTTGACTTTCCATGAACCCTTTGCAGCGGCCTAAAGGGGCTGCCAAGTGAGGTAAGGGGTAAAATCTGGACCCCACTTTGTGACTGAAAGCTAAGGGAACACATGAGTAAGCAGGAAGTGTTTGGGGGAAAGCCCACCACCCCTCGCTAGGACTCGGAGTTATCCCCCATGCCTGGCTTCCCGGCTAGGCTTGTTCCTCAGCTAAAGTCACCCCTGAGTCCCTGGCATGGTTGGGAGAAGGTTAATGGGCACAGTCTGGGCCCCACTCACAGTTGACAGTGATGAGCACGTGCTTCCGGTCAGGGACCAAGACGCCGTTTTCTGTGATGCATTCGTACTCCCCAGCCTGCTGCCGGTTGATATCTGTTATTTCCAAGTACTCCCCCTCACTGGTGAATCCATCTGTGGGATAGGGAGTAGCGGGCAGTGGGGAAGGGGTCAGGACCAGCAGTAGGGGGACAGACACAAACGCAGACTTACACACGAGAAAACACATACAACAACAACACTGTTATCAATGCCTCCTGCACGTGGGGGCTGCCATGCCCCAGGGCTGTGGGGGCGGTACAGGGACTCTGGGTTGGACGTGATGCGGGAGCCGGGATGGGGGCTGGCCAAGCCTTTTGGGCTGGTGGGCACATTGGGGTTTGAGGAACTGGCACTGGCACTTCCAGGAAATGGCTGCCATTGCTGCTCATTCATAAAATGGCTGCCAAATGTGGGCCTGGCCGGTCACAACACATGCATGTGCTAGAAGGGGAAGTGGTGAGACTACAAGTACTGAAGAAGCAAGACTCAAGAAGAAGGGAGCAGAAAGGTCTGGTCTCCAAGATGCAGCATCATTCCGGAGAACCCATCTTTTGAGGCAAAATAAAAGTCAAGAGAGGCCGGGAGCCTCGTGGGCACTCTGGTGCTGAGGGAACCATGCCAGAGAACCCAGGTCTGGCATATAGGGCAGTCTGGGACAGCTCGTCACCCACCAGAGCAAACCAAACACAAGACCAGGGCTCAGCGCAAATCATTTTTACAGCGTCACCTCAAAGATAAATACATGAAATCAGTCTGGGACTTGTTAGTTGCATTTTCATTCTCCCCATGATCCAGCACTTGGCATAAACACTTTGGACAGCTACTCAGCCTCGAAGCTTCCTTGGGAAAGTTTCTGTTGGCTTTGCACATCTGGAGCCTGCCATGTTTGCCATTTGTCCTGCAAAGTCGCTCCTGGTTTGTCAGCTTAGATAGTAAGGGAACAATTCCCCTGTGTGTGGCTCCATCTACCTTGCCCTCCTTCTTACCACGCTTCCTCACTTTGCTGATGGTGTTCTCAGAGCCAAGAGCACTGTGGGGTTTGCACCACACTCGGCTTCCTGCAGCCAGGCCCGAGATCCCGCTTTGGTCTCCTCAGAACAGAGAGCCTTCCCCACATGTTCGCTGTGTCCGCCACATGCCTGCGTGCAAATTCCAGGAAGGCTTTCCTATGGGGTGTTTCTGCAGGGACTCCCGTCTCGTCATGCTTCCATACAGCCCAGCTTTGTGGGGTGGCTGGGTCATAGCTGCCCGTTGCTTCTCTAATGAATGCCTTCCTTCTCTGGTCACTCACTTTTGGTGAATGGCCTTCTCTAGGCAGAGCAGGAGTTGGGCCGTATTCTTCCATTGTGGGATAGCAGGTTTAATGGCACTCCAGGTGTTATTTTGCCTTTTAATATTTATTTTAATTTATGGTCTTACTTTGTAAGTAGACTTCTTTTTTCTTTTTTTCAAGGACAATCTGGTAGCTGACTGTAATAAACTACTGGCTGGAACTCCAAGGAATGTTGATAGTTTTCCTTTTTTTGCAGGGTGGGAGGTGGCTACTGGATGGAGTACCTCTTGTAACCACAACCTACACAAATAGGATGCACAACCTGAGTCTTCCTCCAGGCGCCAACTCCAAGGACAGCAGCAAGGGGAGGGCCTTCTCCGTGGTGGCCCCTAAGTGTGGCATGACCTCCTTTCTGAGGCCTGCCAACCTTGTCGCCGTTTAGACAGCAGGTGAAGACAGCTGTGTACAGTGAGGCATTTAAAGATATACATGGATATTTGAGAAGGGGTGACCAATCCCAGATCTATTCATTAGCCATTTTAATTTGTTTTTACATGTTTGCATTTTGGGAAAAAATTGTGGAACTTTCTTGTGTTGTGTTTATGAACTCTTGTAAATCATCTGATAGCTGTAGCTCTTGGCTATTAGGCAGGAGAGAAAATAAGTTATCATTATGGGTGCTTCTTTGAAAGTTTGCCCCAGAGCTGGTTTGCTAGCTGCTTGGTCTTCACGATTTCTTTAGATAGACTCTACAACAAACTCTGCTCCCTTCCAGAAACAGGTCCTTTTAATCTGAGATCCTGTGACCTCTGGAGGCAGTAGGTTCCACTGGTGCTCATTCAGGCTGGCACAGCTCAGGAGGTGAATACTTATGCAACCAACAAGTGCCTTTTCTGCACCGATCGTTTGTGCCACGGTACCAATATTTCATACCTTCACAGTGTTAAGTATTTGCACACATCACATGGTGACAATGGATTTACATCCATGTCAATTTCAGGGTGTAACTCAGCAAAATGTGGATGACTCAAGGGGTGTGCATGGGCATATTTTGTTTGTTTGTTTGAAACCATTTTAGACTTTCCCTTACCAAAGTCTCGGGACAGTTTAACAGTAAGACAAATACTAACTGAATGGCACTGCTTTGAGCCAGGCTCATGCAAACACCACCTCTGCTTTGCACGTGGGCTTCCTGCTCCTCCTCCCTGCAGTCAGTGCCTTGGGGCAGCGAGGGAGCCTCTGCCAGACTGGGGACGGTCCCTGAGATCTCCTCCGCCCCATCCTCCTTCCAGCCTCCCTTACCTTTCATCTGCCGCCAGATCACCGTTGGCTCCGGCTTCCCCACGGCCAGGCAGAGCAAATTCACGTTGCTTCCCTCGTTCACAGTCACAGAGGATGAAATGTTCACGATCCGAGCCGGGACTGGGGAGTTTGCAGAAGACACTTTGTGAGTCTTAAGACCATTCTCCCATTTGGGGGGGGGGGGGAGGATCTTCTCCAGCACTGCACTAATGCTAGTGCCTCAGAGCTTTGCCCTTCGTGAGGGTTTCATCGGTGGCATCCAATTAGCAAGCTGTCCTGCTTCTTTTCATGTTTCTAGAAACTTCACCTTCTCGTTCTTACATATCAAGGGCAGAGCAGGTTGGCTTTCCCCCTCTGCCTGATTGGCAGCCTATTTCAGCGTGAGCCAGCAGGCTCCCCTTGGCTGTGTTATGCTGAAGCCGAGCGCCAGCAGCTGGCAGTGTTGGTCATCCAGTAAAGCCCACACACTGGTGGGGGGCCCCTCTGGTGTTCCCCCAGAGTCTCCTAGCCTGTTCCCCTCTCTTGATGCTCCTGCTATCCGCTCACCCTCTGCAGGCCACGGAGAGAATGAGCAGGAGAATGATCTAGGGCCATGAGGCAGATCGGGGCCAGAGGGAGAGAGCAAACAAAGAGGCAGACAGGGGATGGGCCGGCCATTCAGGAAGAGGAGCAGTGAAGGCACCTTGCCCAAGGGCCTCTCCAAACCTGGCTCCTTCTCAGAAAGGATGCTGAGGATCCTGACACACATGAGCACAGCCCAGGATTCTGCTGCACCTGAGCATTGCCCATCATCCTGCACAGCACTGATGAAAGAAAGCTTGGCTCTCGATTTTTGATTTCAAGGGTGACAAGACCATGAAGAAGGACTCGCGGTTGTCATTCATTTCAGGGGTGATGGGATGTGTTGAACCAGAGAAAGACTGAAAGCTAGATTTTGCCTCTTCCCTGCGGCAGCGGCTCACCGGGGCCCCACCTCCCCTTAAAGACAGGAAAAGGAGCTTCAACGCCTCTCTGGATGCAGGTGACCGACGCACCTCTCCCAGCAATTCCTTGCAATGCATACAAGGCTTTCTTTACACCCAGTCTCCACATTCACAGGTTGTGCTAAGTCACCCTGCAAACAAGTTACAGCATGGACTGTTATGTGACCCTGCTGGGTTCCTTGGGGCTTGTCTCACCCTCCTTCCCCTTTAGTCCTTCAACAACAGAACCTGTTTTGTTCCTCCCCCCCCCGCACCTCCCCCCTTTCCAATCAAATCTGTTTCATCTGCCATGCGTGTGTTTTCCTGGAGCCTCAAAAATGCACAACAGGGATTATTTTATTTTAAATCAGCCCCGGAAAATTGAACAGTTGTGTTCATTATTATTATGTTTTAGTATTTTCAGAAGTGCACTGTTACAGCTGTCCAATGTGTGTGTTCTTGCTTGGTCAATTTCGTTGCATGTTTCAGCTGTCAAAGGCAGCAGCAAAATGGAGTTGATAACATACAGGGAAACTGGCAAACCAAGACTGCATTTAGGCTAATTTGTGCTCAGTGGCCAGAGTAATTCAGAGAGCTCCATGGCTACGGGAAGACTAGAATTCAGATTTCCTGACTCCCACTCCAATATTCTAGCCACTATGCTCTGTTGTCGAGTTGCCAACTGAAAAGCACCAGTAAAGAGGGGAAAGCAGCAAAACTAAGTACACCAAAATGGCGGAGGGGGACCAATATCTCCCGTACTGCAGTGTAGCCCTCTCGAATTTCATTGTTCAGCTGACTTTTGCCAGGGTCCTCCATCACTTCGATACTTCCCTGAAGCCCCTGCGAATCCTTGCTGGACCATTTACTGCCCACTTCCTCCCAGTCAGTTCTGAACAAACATCCCCCACAAATATGTGGCTTTGTGGAAGTAAATTGAAGGGAAATTTGCACCAGTTTAAGGCTGCGAAGTCCAGAGAGGGGAAAATTGTGACCTCGCCGTAACTGCTAAGTCATTGCAAATTTGCCCTCCATTTACTGCTCTGCGCTGCACAAAAGTTTCCTCTTCATTTTAGTTCCCAGGCATTTAGCTCACATATGCTCCCCTTTTGCAAAAATTATAAAAATATTCCTGATCGTTAAAAACAAGAAGCACAAACCCTTACAGGGGGCAGAACAGGATGAAGGAAATGGGGTGCTGGCACCAGGGGTCCTTCACCCAGGTCTACCCCACTGGGTCACTCTCAGCTGCCTATGGCTGTCCCCGCTGGAGAAGGAGGAGGAGGAGGAGGAGGTCTACCCCACAGGGTCCCTCTCAGCTGCCTTCCCAGCAGTTTTCTTTTCTTTTTTAGAACTGCATTGCTATAGAATAAGCCAGCCTGAAGGAGGCAGTCTAGAAAGAAGGAGGAGGAGGAGGAGGACGACGACAACATAGGTTTGATGTCCCACCTCAAAACAGTTACTTTTCAAGTGTTCCTCAGCAAATCCCACCTTGGCACCTTCAGGGTTAATGTCCTATGGCTGTCCCCGCTGGAGGACCCTCCCCACCAACAAAAAGAAACCGCTTCCCCGCACCCACTACCCGAATCTAATGAACCGCATTGTCTGCCCTGATAGGTTGGGGGTGATGTGGATGCAAGGAACAGATGTTTCCTGACGCCCAGGCTGCTGTTCCGGACTGGGCCCAATCAGCTCCTATTGTACCAGCTTCCCAGCGCCAGCAACCATGGGAGATGCTGCATGTGCGTGCGCGTGCGTAATTATGGGGTGTGTGGAATGGCAGTTGTGCCTTCTGCCAATGCTGCAGAATTGCTGGAGGTGGCTGGGAATCAGCGGAGGAAGCGAGCATGGAAGGAAGCGACCAAGAGGGGACTCTCGTCAGTTTTGGCAGCTGGAGAGAGATTCCACGTTGGCCAAAGTGAAGGCACCCTCGGCGATGGGAGAGCGTGGGGTGGGGTGGGGCGGAGGGGATGGGAACTCTTTCTGCACACTCATGTAGGGTGACTGAATACAAAGCGCGGCAGGAATCCTTCATCTTCCGTTCTGAAGACATGTTAGAACACACAGCTGGCCCTGGAGGAGAAACACCTGAACAATGCAGCGGGATCATTTGGACCCGGCGTCGACTGTTCCTCGGGAGCTCCACCTTCCACACACACCCAGCCCTGCCAACCCGTCGCGGCTCATCTGGGGTGCTTTCAGCGCCAGCTTCTGGGTTGATAAGCTTGGCTGACTGACAAGGAAGGCACCCCAATAAGCTTGGCTTGTTGTATGAGAGGACAACAAGTCCTCCTGAGCCACTTGGCAAGAGCCACAGGGGGCAGGCAGGCGCCAGCGACAGCCACCCCAGGGGCCCCTGACTTGGGGGGCTGCCCCTTGAGGTGGGGCATGTTGGGGGGAGCTGCAGTCAGCGGGGGGACTCCTGCCCCGTGATGTGGCCGCGAGCCCTTGCAGCCGGCAGCTGCGACGCAGGGGAAAGAAAGAGTAGCTCGGCTGACTGAGAAGGAAGGCAGAGCTCGCCCAGTCTGGGGCTGCCCCAGGCAAGCAGCCGCAGCGCAGGGGGGTGGCGCACTCTGCCGGGCCCCTCTCAGCGTGAGGCCCAGCTCTCCACATCGGCTGCCGCCGATGAGGGGCGGGAGGAGCCGTGCTCTGCACAGAGAGTGGCGTGGCTGCTGCTCTGTGCAGGAGTGGCCGGCTCTTGAGGCCGCTCCCGAGGGCGGCTGGGAACAGGGGTGAGGCTGTGGGCGACCCCTGATCCCCCGCCCCCTCCTGCCCCTGCCAAGCAGCGACGGGGATGGGGAGCCTTGACCCACATCCTTTTTCTGGCTCGTCCTGCTTTCATCCCTCCATCAGTGACTGTTGTAAAGAAGAGTAAAACTCCTGCTGCTGAACTCCGCCCACAAATGCCTCAAGAAAGGTGGATGGAGGGGAGGCTGAGGGGAGTCTGCAAAGGAGGACCACTCCCTGAAAGGGCTTAAATGGTTGTTGGGCAGGCTGGGTGCATGTGTGTGTGTGGGGGGGGCACACGCACGCAATTCTGCATGCCTTGTTTACCAGCCAAACCATGAGGAATCGGGTGAGGTGGCTTTTGCTGGGGACCATGCCGTGGAACAGGCACCGCAGTGGCGCAGCGGGAACCCCATGCAGCTGGGTGCTGTCCGCCCCAGCATGAAGGCCAGGAACCTCCCAACCCATCAGGCTGGAAGGAAGCCCAAGCAGCATCACTGAAAGAGGCCCCTCTGTGCTTTGATCTCAAGATGCCTCCCTGTGAATGGAAAGCCATACATAACTTTTTAAAAACATATAAAAATAGCGTGGGGATAATCTGGAGATTAAGGGCTCCGGGGTGCTTCCAGACGGATGGCTCCTAGCATTACCAATCAAAAGGCATTGTGAGGCTATTCTATCTCTCCCTCCTTAATGGATTTTCTGTGGTAAGAAAGAAGACAGAGGAAGCAGTGGGGAAACATGGGAGGGTTACAAATGGAAGACGACCACTGTAGAATAATGGCTCAAAGTCCTGTTAGCTTTGGCAGTTAAAAGAAAAGATTGCTTTTGGTTGCCGAGAAGCTACAGGAAAATATATACGTGTCTGGACTACTGTTTGGTAATTAACTTGTGTTTCTTTTAAAAACTAGACTGTAACAACTTGGGTTTTGTTTTCTTTTCTCTTTCTTTTTAATTCTGTATTACTGTGAAATATATGACAGGTTTATATTAACTGCAGAGCCTGCCATGAAGAGATTTGCTACCTTGAGATTACACTGTTTTTAAGTTGGGCTGATGCTTGAAATTTGCCAGATTTGAAAGCTGGGGCCATTTAGATGGGCTATAAAGATGTTTCTTTCTAGGCAGGCTTTTAACCTCCAAGTGTGATGGAGTTTGGTTTGGTTTGTGTTATTTTTCCTGCCATTAAGATAATGCTACTGATTTTACTTTGTTCTGGGGGTTCTTCTTTTTGCTCTTCCTGGCTGCCTTGATGTATTTTTGTTTGAACTAAATTTATTAAGATGGCGAGGGGGAAATGCAAGCATGAAAACAAGTAGGAGATGCCGTCATCTGGAGCACACATGCATGCACACAGACACACACCACTGCACAACTCTGTGCACGAGCGAGGCATCCAGCATGATGCCTCCTCTGGAAACACCCCGCAGCTCTGCAGTCCGGTCCCATCCTTTCCCCGGGCCTGTACCTTGCACGATGAGGTACACCTGTGAGGTGTGCGGCTTGTCCTGCGTCTGGAAGGAGCAGGTGTAGAGTCCCTCATCATACACGTCAACGTGGGTGATCATGATGCTGAACTTGGAGGGGATGTAGGTCACCAGCTGCACCCGTGGGTCGATGGACCACTTGTCATTGCCAGCGTACAGGATGTTGGAGCGGTTCAGCCACGCCACGCGCGTCACCTCCTGGTTGATGTAGCAGCTGCAGAGACAGGAGAAGATCCGGGCACGAGGGTGAGCGGCAGAAGGGGGGAAAAGGGGGTGTGGTTATGGGGGGACGGCGATGGCAGGTGCGAGAGAGGAGGCCTGGCTGTAGTGCTGTATTGGGCAGTTGGGGTTTGGAGATGGGAAATGCTGTCACTTTGGCCTGTCCTGCTCTGGAATTTCCTTTCCCGAAGAAGCAGCAGCATTTGGGCACTCTTGGCTAATTCCCATAAAAAGGGGATAGAAGTGGCTTCTTGCCCATCCGCACTGGCCTAGCTCTGAGGGGAAGCATCCATACCTTCCTGCTGGCCATACAGCTGCTGAAGATGGAGACCCTGTGGGAAAAATGAGCTGGCGACCCTAATTCAACCCCAGTGTTGAAATGCAGGAATTCACATCCAGGGTTTTAGAGGGCTCCCTGCTCTAAGCTCACGTGGATGACACAGTCCGTTTTGGTTTCTCCCACATTATGTTTTGTTAAATATCTCACGTTCTTCTTGCCGTGAATGGAGAGGACTTTGCAAATTTTGGTGCATTTTGGTCAAAACCAAATTGAAAAGAAATCTTGCAGTTACGAGAGATGCCAATGTAAAGGCAACATTGCAGCTTTCATACGGCCCTGCCGATTGCAAAGAGGAGAAGTGGCTGCCGGCTTCTAATGCCTCCAGTGCAGGGCAGCATGTGCCTGCGAAGGGATGATGCACAATGACAATGGACACCAAGCCCTAAAGAATCAGTCTCTCCTTCTGTGTGCAGGTGCCCCAAGGGGGGAAAGGGCTAAGGGCACAATTCTAAGGGCACATTTAGATGGAAAAAAGTCCTGCAGCTCCCAACACACTCCAACCAGCCAGCCTAAGCACAAGCACAGCAAGTGGCAGCCTCAGGAGGTTTTTTTATTAGGCATTATAGGAAAATAATAGGTCACAGTTTGGTGACCAAGAATATCAGAAGGGCTCCAGAAATACCAAATTGATGGCAACCCCATGAGCATCCCAGATACACTTTTTTATTGTTGTTGTTGTTGCAAGAAACCCAAGGGAGCCTGCATAATCTTTCTCCTCTGCACTTTATCCTCAGAACAACCCTGTGAGGTAGGTTAGGTTGAAAGTCAGTGACTAGCCCAATGTGAGCTCCAAGAACAAGTGGGGAGCAGAACCCAGATTTCCTGGGTCACAGTCCAACCCTCTGCTGGACCATTATACCGCACTGCTGTTGTCCTTTCCATGGTCTTGTGCTGGGAAAGTGGTGGGTGCATGTGCAGAAATGAAGCAATTTACATTTACAGCTGGTATTGCCATTCAGCAACAACAAAAGGAAACCGGAACACAAAAGCCAGCCATATGAGTGCCATTTGCTTTAGTCAATTTGCATTTTTCGAGTCCATGGGGGTGAGGGAAGCAGCAGCTCAGCCATATGCAGGAAATCCTAAGGATTCTGGAATTTTTCAGCTAAAAACAATCAGGGGGTGGGGAAAACCTCCCTGTTCCTGAGACCCTGACTGGGTTCAGACAATATGAGAACCTGAACTCAAGGGCTGAGTGTGAGCTGTTGTTGAACCCGGGCAGAATCATGGGTCCTCCCAACCCACGGTTCAGTGGCAACCCACACCCAGCCTTTGAGCGAGATATCCTGTGGCCCAGAACCTGGAGCATCTCTGTCAGTAGCAGCAGCCCATATTGGGCTCCATGGACAAATAGTCTGGCTGGCAGAAGGTAACTTCCTGTAAGCCCATGAGGATGGAGGCCCTGAGGCACCGCCCTGGGTGTGGAAGCCAGGCAGGAGACCGCAAGAGCTAGAACTCCGGGGCTGTCCTCCTCGCTCTGGTGAAGCCCAGAGCTCTCTCTCTCTCTGCCGAGCCTTTGAAGCCCAAAAGACCATGTTATTACAGCTCTTTTTACCAAGCCCTAAAAAATTTGAACACCTCCGAAACTGTGGATTTAATGAGCATTATGAGTGTTTGGAGAAAGGCAAGCCGGCAGGCTTCTCTGAACTAAACCGCTGAGTTAATTCCTGCACAGACACATTACTGACTGGGCTTGGGCAGCCCTCCCTTGCAATTCACAGCCCCCTGACCCTGACCCTCCTTGGCCCCTCGCCAGTCCCCGGCCACATCATTTCTGCTGGCCCGCTCTCCTCACCCGTGGCTTCCAGCTGCGAGATTTAATTATCAGAGCGGTGCTTCTCTTGCCTTGAAGGCGAGTTGGGTGCTAAGTAATCCCGTTTCTTAGTCCCTGACAGCTGTCAAGCACAGATTGGACAAGCATTCCAAAGATAACCACAGAAGAGCTGGAAGGAGGAGGACTTTGTGTTCTCCCCATCAAATCATAACTGACCCCGATGCTTCAGCAAAGTTTGGTTCCCTTTCCTTCGCACCGCAGCACGGTGGATCCAGAGCCAAGCTGCCTGCCAGGGGATTCCCTGGCTCTGTGGCTGGGAGCAAGACAAGGCCAGGGCCCCATGTCCCAAAGGCTCAACCCTATACTTGATGTCCAATTACATCATAATTTCCCTACCTCTGTCCCTTTCTCTTTAGGAAAAGCACTAAGGAGATTGAAATCATGAGGGGCTGGGGGAAGATAACGTTTTATTTAACTCTCTTCTTGCTGACTACTTCTGTGTGTACACACAGGGATACCTTCTGACTATATGCAAAGGGGAAAATGGGGGGGGATTTTGGGAGGACAATGGATGGCAGGGAAAGAGTTAATGAGCCCCTTTCTCAGTCCTTCCTCCACTGGTTCCCTTGTCAGTATTCCAGCTCCCTCTGTAACTCTCCTTCTTTCTTTTATTCCTTCACTGCACCAAAAAAATCTCCTTGCTTGGCTACACCACCGGGGAGAGAAAAGCTGCAGCCAAAGTTCCCCTTTCTTTGGAACGACTGGAGATGCAAGCAGGAGGTCCAGAGATGCTGCAGGTGGCTTTGAAATGGTCAAGAGAGTGTAGGGGGTCTTCTGCCCCATATCCCAAGCTGACCACATCACCCTGACCCAGACCTCTGCACGTGGATTGCCTGGGCGGGGGGCGTACGGGGAGCAGGGTTGCGATGGCAGGCACTGGAGGGAGGGAGTCAGGCAAATGGGAAATGCTGACAGGAGGCGCTCCAGGGCTGCTTCACCCCCGCTTTTTCCAGCATTGCTGGTGGCACCTGCAGCAGTTCTGGGCTCCTGAGAGGCAAGAGAAAGATCGCTCTGCAAGCTGGGCTCGTTCAGCGACTCTGGCCGGCAGTGGCCAGCCACCTTGCCCAGCTGCCTGTGAGCTTCTTCAGAGCATCTCTCTGGCCACTGCGGCGCACAGGAGGGTGGACTGGACGGACTGCTGGGCAAGGAAATAGTTCCACGGCCTCAGGTGTCTTCCTGATGTTTGGGGTGGGAGCTGCTAGCAATCCTAGGCATGGGCTGGGCATGCTGGGGCTGATGGGGGCTGAAATGCAAAACGCATGGAGGGCACTGGGCTGGAGAAGGCTGGGGATGAGGCTCCAGCAGCTGTCTGTCTGTCTGTCTGTGCCTTTCTCTGGGGTGGGGCATGGGGGGTTGGCAGAGGATCAGGCGGTCTGGTACCATCTCTCTCTCAGCATTCCTGAAAGCAAAGGGAGGGCTTTGTCTCCCCCTGTTTTCTGCAGAGAGCTTATGATGGAGCAGTCTTGGGAAGTAGGTCAAAGCTCCGCTGATTCAGGCTCATGGGAACCCAGCATACTGCGGGCTGCTTGGAAATTGGGGGGCTGGCAGGGAAGGGGGGGTGGGGCATGCATGTGTGCGTGCGTGCGTGCATGTGTGTGGTGGCGGGAGCAGACAACGTCTGGGACACAGTCCTGGCATGCTGACTCACAATTTCCAGCAGGGTGTGTGCAGAGGGGGGGCGGATGTGCAAGCAGACAGGATATATGGGGGGGGGGGCTGGGGGAAGGGTTCCTATGCATGCCTCCCAGCCCCCTTCTCCCCTACTGCTGACTGTGCTTCTTCAAGAGGAGCCCTGATCACTTTGATGTATGTATGCTAAGCGAACAAAGAGCTCCAGAGCAGATCAGAATTGCGTGGCCGTCTGCCGGACAAGACCAAACTCCGGGGCGGGGATCATCTCCTCCTGGGGTAACGGCTCATCCGGACAGCTGGAGGGGCAGTGCTGATAGAAAGCTGGCCCAATGGGCAGCCCTGGGTTCAGAGGCGTGCAGGGTGGGAGGCTGGGTTGCCAGCAGTTCAGGGGCTTTGTGTTTTTTGGTTTTTGGGGAAAGAAACTTCACGAACCAAGTAAAAAGAGGGGAGCTGTAGGGAGCTGCTTTTGAAACCTGGAGGGGTTTGTGGATGCAGAACACGAAACTCCCTGCCTGTATCCCAAAGCTGGGGCTTACTTCCCCATAATCCCCTTCCCAAGCAAGACAAAGAAAAAACCCTTTCGTGGTGAAGGTCACGCTCACTATCGCTGTGGAGATGAGCTCAATCTGGAGGAAGGAAGCCGCCGGCAGGAGGGCTCTGCTCTCCATTCCCACACACTCCTTCTGATTTAAAATTGGACGGCACACCTGGTTCTCTGCATGTTTTCAGATGCATGGCAGGGCCCCTTAAGCATAAAGGGTTGCAGGGGCCCTCTGGCACTGTGCCCTTTCATGGCCCACCCCATCCAAGTGGCCCCTGGCAGTTTGTCCTGGTGGCTGGGATCGTGGGGGAAGGCGCCCAACCCTCCCAGGAGTGCTCCTTCAGTTTCCCACAATGCCCACAATGCCCACAGGACCGGTCAGAACATCCATCTGGCGTGGGGGCAAGAGCGGGAGTCCTTGCAGTGGCAGGCCCAGCCAGGGGAACGCGGTCTCAGCTGCTGCACTTCGCTCCTCCATGGGCCTTTAGCCATGCGCTTGGGGTCTCCCTCTGCCCCACCCGATAGGGCTCTTCTTGGGCAACCGTGGGATAATTCTGACAGGCGCCCACCTGAGCTCCCTTGGGGGAGCAACGGGAGTGCTGCAGTAATCGCGTGATTGTGCACAGTGAGCGTGAGACCCTGCCCTGATGTCTAAACCCCCCTGGCAGTGATTGCCTTGTGTGCGTGTGTGGGAGAGAGGGAGAGAGAGAGAGAGAAGAAAGTGTCAAAAAGGGGAAAGGAGGAGAGGAAGAGGCAAAAGAGGAGGAAAAAGGGGGTGGCAGAAGAGACAAACGGTGGCCATATTGACGGTAGAATTTGCTCCCACAGATGTCTGGCACACGGCCGTAACAGCTCCCACTCAAAGTAACCCAAGAGGGAAGGCCCGCCCAGCCTGGTTCAGCACCTGACTGTGCTGGAGGAGGGGAAAGCACTGATCCCAACCCTCTCCTCAGGGTCTCCTCACCTCCTGCAGACTTAAAGAAAAGAATCCAGTGCAAGGAGTCGTCCTGAGATCCTTCTGGAAGGTGCTCTGCATCAGCCCTGAGCACGGCTCCAGTGGGGACATGTCCCCGCCCATGTGGAGAAAAGCCGTTGTCACCTGGCTGACAGAATCTGATGCGAGGAGGCATTGTCAAAAGGAAGATGCTGGATGGGAAGGGCTGGGCTCAAGCGAGGCCTGTGCCAAGTCCAGGGTCTTAAGCGGTGGACTTCTGCGACTGGCATCCAATGCTCTGGGCTGCTTTTGGACAGAGGAAGCTGCAACCCACCTCCAGGTCAGCACTGTTCTCTCCTCCCTCCAGGATCAGGTGAAAACCCAGTGCATGTTTTCTGGGCAGAAGCAAGCTGTGGGGAGCTCCTGGCTGGTTGGCTTTGGACATGAATCACTTCCCATACTCATGCGCTGAGTGCTTTTCCATCAGCACGCCTGGAGCCTCAAATCCACACCTCACTGCCCTGCCCAGAAACAGGTGCTCCTGTGGATGCTTTTCAAGGGGGAGGCGGCTGGGAGCCAAGACTTCCTCCAGCAATGCTATCGCTTTGTCTTGGCCCAAGGACGCGTTTCCTGCCTCCTGTCCTTTCTCCCTTTGCAGCATTTCTTTCCTATACTTCCTTGCTGGGAAAGTTACCCTTTAACAGAAAGAAGAGCAAGCTTGTGGTGGCGGCAGGCTAAACCCAGGGCTTTGTAGCCCTTGGGCTTGCATTGGCTGCTCCGTGTGAGTCACACCAGCACGGAGCGGCCGGTGCAGCTGAAAGGAGGCTTAAGACAATACCGGGGAGCAGCAGCTGGAGAGGGGGCATCAGGGATGGGAAGGGGCCACCACCCACACAGGGCAATGAAAGCTGCTGCCAAGGGCTCCAGCACCATGCTGGAATGATCTTCCCGCAGGGCGAGGGAATGTTATTCCCCCAGACAGAGGGAAAGGCTCTCAGTTTGAAAGAACACACGAGTGTTAAAATCAAGGCTTGGCAAATTTATGCCGCACTTGACAGAGTTATTAGCCATTCCGTAAGTCATCGCTGGCTGCTATTAAGGCGTTATGAGAAGGTAATAGTGCGTTTTGCCAGGGGGCCATCTTTTATTTAAATACAGTCAAGATGTTGTGATGAAACTTTAATAGACCTGGGGCGTATGTGTGTGTGTGTGGTGGGGGGTTAAATTATTGAACTGCAGGGTGGTGGCACAAAATCGTGCTGGGTTCAGAGATCAACACAAGGGCAAACTGGGAGGGGACCGGAAAAGGGCCATGGGTGGGTTGGAGAATGTAGCTGACAAACCATCGCACCACTAGAGGGCGCTTTTGGAAAGGAGGCACTGCTCCATTGGCTGTTGCAGCCCACAACCCTCGGTCCATTTAGTAGCCCAGTAGCTTTCTGTGGTGGCCTGCTGGCCAGTGCTGGCTCCAGGTTCCAGAGGGCCCTTGAGCAAGGCACCCTCCGTGGACCCTCTCCTTCAGAGCCATGCTTTTCATCTCCACTCACCTTTGCGCATCTTCTCACCCCACCCTCCTTCTCATCGTTGCTACCCCTTGCTTGCTCGGAAGCAAGCAGCCAGAGATGGCATCCCCTGCTGCTCTTCTTCCTAAATGCCGCAGAAAGTGCCAGCTTTCAGCAGGTACCTGACTACACTGACCTCAGGCGCGAGCCCCACAGCTGGGGGCAAAGTACTGCCTTCCCCATTTTCCCTGTCCACCTCAGGGGGTGGGGACCCAAATCAAAGCCCAGGATTCCCCTGACTGTGAGCGCCTCTGGGCCTGAAAGGGAGGAGAGGTGCGGTTGCAAGCCCAGACTGCTCTGGGCCAGGATTGACTCTCATTCAGGAGACGGAGGAAGTTAAAACAGGGTGGCGGGGAGGGGCGACAGGAGAAGAGGCACACGGCTTGCATGTGGGAGGCTGTCCAAGCAGTGCAAGGTCCGTGTGGCTGAGCTGGCTCAGTGCAGAAAGGACATTGGCCTTCATTCTGGGGGCAGATGAGCCCAGAGAATGGCGACCACTGGGTGGAATGTACACAAGTCATGAGGAAGAGAAGGGCCCATCAGGGAAGGGAGCTCACCAAGGGCATTTCACCCAACGTTGGAAGATGCCACCTGATACTCTTGCAGGGGTGGGGGGAATAAGGCTGGGAGGGGCTGTCCTTCAAGGAGATACCTGGATGGAAAGTCCTAATAAGTTTAGAATGGGAGGGAGACATTCTTTTACATTGCCTGAGAAGTTCAGCAGAGCATGCTAAGAAATCCACAGTCATGCCACGCACAGGGGAAGCACATGCTCACACACGCAATAGACAAGACGCCTGCCAGTCAGAGACAGAAAACTCACCTGAGTGTCGTGTTGTCCCCTTGGCAAACTGTGTAATTCTCTGCTGCCTGATTGAAATCTGCACCCCGAACCAGCAGCCCTGTGCAGCAAAAGACACACACAAACAGAGGGGTGGTCGTTAGAGTGTGGCAGAAGAAAGTGCTCCCAAGGGTTGGCAAACTCAACACATGCCCCTTCGAGCAACACACCTTCGCGTCAGCACAGCCTCCGTCCCTGTGGTTACTTGCAAGTTTTTTGAGCTGTGCACAGATCCCCCGTCTATCACGCCTGTAAGTGACCCAACTCAGCCAGGGGGCGATTCACCCTGAATGTACACTGAGCAACTCTGAACTCTGAAGTCTAATCTGGGGTGGGATAATAGAAAGCCAGGGCACACATTTCTGTCCCGTCCCATCCCGTCCCTTCCCTTATTTCTTCTTCAATACATCATTAACTGCTGTAGTTTCCTTTAAGGTATCATTGAGTAAACAGCACTGAAGCGCACGGAAGTGTGTGGTGTGGCAGCTTGCTTTAACTGCTAGGAGATTACACTACTGCTTGACTCCACCCCTCTGAAAGAAACATTTTCCCTAGAGGGACAGCCTTGCCACTGCCACCCAACACAGAGAGGGGAGAAGGGAGAAAAGTGGCGAAAAGAAGCAGGAACTGGGCAACTGCCCAGCTATGCTCCATAATTAATCCAGACCTGTCACTTTAGGCTCCCAGGAATTCTTCCTCTAAACATTCACTCATCTAAAAGGGAGGGACGGGAATGAGAGAGAAAATAGTACACATGAGCCTTCATTCAGAAGAACATATGGTTGATCGGATCAAAGGTCATTGTCACCAGGCATGGACAGAAGGCAGATCTCCAGTTGTTTTGGACTTCAGCTTTCGGAAGCCCCCTACCACATGGCCAGAGATGAAGTCCAGAGCATCAGTGGATGTGCTTCCTGCCCATTCTTGACCAACCGAGGACAGGCAGGTCACTCAGGCCGATGACACATGTGTAGGCATGAATCCATTGTGACCCATCTCCACACCAACCTACATTTTTAAAAACTGCACAAAATATTTCATATACTGTTTGTACAAAATGCTCCTTTTGCATGCATCTTTGTAGGCATTCTACCTTAAAATATGGTTTTGGGAGATAAGAACAGAATTGAAAAATCAGAGCAAAGTAAACACAGGATTCTGATCTGCGTTTTATAATAGGAATTTGGTTGTTCTGCCTAAAAATTCATACCAAACAAAATCCTGGAGCCAGGAGTGACCCATCAGATGCCACTGGGAAACTCACCAGCAGGCAGGGCATTAAGGCAACAGCTTCATCTTGCTTGTCCCCAGCATCTGGTACTGAAAGGTATACTGCCTCTGAATGAGGAGGTTCCATTTACCTACAATTACATAAAAACAGTCTTGCTAGATCCAACCAGGAGTCCATCTGGTTCAGCATTCTGTTTCCAACAGTGGTGGACCAGATGCCCCTGGGAAGATCACAAGCAGGTGTAGCAGAACACCTGTGTTGACTGTGCCTAGCAGCAAGGATCCAGGGGTCTATTGCCCCTGAGCATGGAAGCGCCATTTAGCTACCACAATGACTGATAGGTCTCTGAGGCTCCTTCATTTTGCTCTGCATGCCCTGGACCACGATTGCAAACCTGCACCCACAGAGAATCGGGGACTCAGGAGAGGACTTGGCCACAAAAACAGCATGAAGCTTCCATCTGTGCAAGGCCCAGTTCTCCAGAGGAGACCCCAGACACGGTACTACCATCCTCAGACCTGGGCCATTTGGACCCTTGCATGCCGCAACCTCTCTCACATTGTTCCAGACTGAGATTTTGGAGACCAGCCATGTCGTTCTAAGAGACAAACCCCACACCCCCACGGAGGAGAGGCCAACAGCTTGCGTGCTCTCAACTCTTATTTAAGGCTCAGCCCTGCTCTGCTCCTCGTTGAAGCAACATCCAGGCAGCCTGTTTGGCTGCCAGCCACAGCCCCGCTCGGAGCTGTTCTATTTCTGTTCATGAAACCCGACCCTGCTGAAAAAGCCCCATCCATCGCTGCACCCAGCAACACAGTCCTCGCTCGGCGGACCTAAATGATGCCGAGCCCTTGTCACAGCAGAGCCAGGCGCAACACCCTGACAATACTTGGGCAGGAAATCGGACCCAGGAGTCCTGCTTTGCAGCCTGTGATGTAATTCCTGGTGGAATGCATGGTCCAGCAACAAGGACGTCCAGTGCCAACTCCTATCTGGGCTGTTAGGCAGGATCTGTGAAAGGATCTGACTCAAGGTACAAGCTTTCTTCCCTGTTGCACGTGTGCATGTGCACAAGCCAGGCTGCCTGGGGACTCATCAGCAGGGGTGCCTCATTTGATCTGCCTAATTTCTCTTCCTCTGTCAAAAATCCACTGCTCCCCCTTCCAGGGAGCTGATGTCAGAAGGCATGGATGATTGCTAGGGAAAGCGGTCCAGCGACAGAAGCCTGTGGATGAAACAGGAGTGATTCGCCCATTAACTGGATCAGGCCTGGTGCTGCTAACCCATTAGTTGCAGACATCATCTGTTGAAGAAATGGGGCATGGGGCGGGGAAGAGTTGGGGTCGCAGGGAGAGGGCGGCCAGAGGCAGTCCATACAAATGCCCAAATGCAGCCAGTCAGGTGATCGTTATCCTAAACTCAGGATCGGAAGGCAAGGACAAGGTCTTGAACATGCAAACTGCTGGAATCAGTAGCGCAGATGAGACACCCGATTTGTCATTTGCAAGGTGCTGGTTCGGCCATGAGATATGTGATGACTGATACATCAGGTGATGAGCGGAAGGTATGAAGGAGCCTGGTCAGAACATGAAGAAAAGCTGAAAAGGCAGACCAGAGAAAAAGAGAAGGGGAGGAGCACGTGACAGGGTTGTGTGGCCAGAGGGCAGGAAGTCACACCACCCAGGAGACCTAAATCCTAGTCCTGGAATTCTCTACTTGTTAGAGGTTGGATGATGATGATGATGATGATGATGATGATGATGATATGACATTTCATTTCTCCAAACTTACACATTGTTATTGCAGCTTTTCCAGAAATAGGCATGTGTTTGGAAGCTGTTTCCACTTTTTCAATGCTTTTTGTTCCTGCTCTCCAGTAATATATGCATTTTTGTCTGCATTTCCTCCTGCCCCAAAGACATGCATTGTGAGATTTGGAGACATGCAAATACGGAGCGACGGTTGCATTGCTCTGCACATATTGCTTGGGAAGTGTGCATTTGGCTCACAGCAAGATGCAAACTGGACAACACCCACCGTTATTCCTGCCTGCATTCAAGTAACCCTGTTCTGAACTTCAGATACATTTGCATGGTGTTTCAAGAGCGGGCCCTTGTCCTTATGTGTTAACCGAAGGTCTGAAAAAGGCCTAAAAATTAATAATGCTACAAAAGTGTCTCTGAGCACAGACCCTTCTCTCTCTGGTGTTCAGACCTTCAAAGGCAGATAATGTCGTTTCCAGTCATTCAAGACTCTACCCCAACACTTCACTCATTCACTGAATGTCTGAAAAGGGATGAAGTGATGGGTTACTGTGAGAACCAGGGCCAACCCTATCATTAAGCTGAGTGGAACAATTGTCTCAGGTGGGAGATCCAGGGAGAGGGAGAGGGGTGTTGGAGGAGTGAGCTTGTATGGCACACAGCCAGACCGATGTCCCAGGAGCAGGGGAGAATGTTTTCCATCACCAGTGTGGAATAAAAATTCCACTGCCTGTTGGGCTTTTGTACTTGCTCTTTGCCTCAGGCAGCAAAATGTTTCTGGCTGCCCAGGAGCAAAACAGTAAGGGAGTTTCCAAGGACTGCCCAAAAACTACTGTTCAAGAGGAAGGAAGGGCTGCTCTGAAGCCTAGCTGGAATGGCCTTGATTTATCCTTTCCCATTGCTTGCTCCGTCTATTTTCAACTGGATCGACGAGTCTCACATCTGGGACCTCCATGGTATGTGATCATAAACATGATCATGTACATGACTAAAATCTTATGCAAACAGCAGTCTCAGTCCTCCAATGGCTGGTGCTTAGGAAGCCAAAGCAGCACTATCCGGGCAGAAGAGAGACATCACTATAGCAAAAGTACCAAGAGTATTTAGGAAGCGACCAAAAGGATTAAAAGAGAAACCCAAAGCAGCCCAAAGAAGATGGAACATGCTCAGTGTTCATGGAATACTAGTGTCTGCATATGAATGGAGAAGATGCAGGAAACCTAGGTGGGTGGGGAAGCTGGAATGGAGTCTTCTGAAAGAAGGCATAGCTGGCTGGCTGGCTGGCAAGCACACTCTACCCTGCAATATTTTGCTGGAGATCCCAGCTGCATGTCTCGAGGAAAGTGATGAAGTGGTTAAGAGCACAGGACGGGGACTTGGGAGATCTGGGTTCTAGTCCCCACTCGGCCACAGGGTGACTTTGGGTCAGTCGCAAACTCTCACCACAACCTTCCTCACAGGGTTGTTGTTGTGGGGTAAGACTGAGAGCAGGAGGAGTATTATATAAGCTGCTTTGAGTTCTTCGTAAGAAAAAAGGTGTGTCTGCTCCATCTTAGAGGAGCGTTTGGCTCTGACCGACACACCTCAGTATCCAAGGCAAAGGTAAGGGCTAATGCTTATTCAGCAAGCACAGCGCAGGAAGCCCCAGGGGCCCAGGGTTGGTTTATTTATGTGGCTGAGGAGCTTCAAGCGACTTGCTTCCGCCTCCTCACAGGGTGGGGTCACTGGATCGTGCCCCTGGCTATGTGGGCTGCTTGAGCTGGAGCAGTTTGGCCAGAGATGGCCTCAGCTGTCTTCTTGGGCCCATACATGACATCACGAACTTTCCCTCTCAGATAATTATGCATCTGAGTCAGACACAAGAACAAGCGTGTTGATTTTCAAGGAAATTCTCCTCGCCCAGTATTGGCATGCAGAAATCTGTCTCTCTCTCCTCCTAATTTGCCAATAGTCATGGTGTGCTCATTCGTTACATACATTTAGAGGCAGCTTTAGTTCTCATACATCAAGAGCTAGCAAATGGATGGGAAGGGGCGGCACAAATCTTCGCTTTTTGAGCAAGAGGTGTGGTAGGAAGCGGGTTCGCAAGCACCACGGATGCCGGCCCAGTGCACTTTGGCATATGTACACGGGTGATCTGCCAATCAGCAAAACTTGAGCCCATGTGTCACCTTATTCTAATTTGCACCCATATCAGTGGGCGATTTCTTTTGTTTTTACAAAAGTATGTTCATATTGTATGCAGTTTTTCCATACACATGTGTCTATTCAGTGATTTTTTGAAAGGTGCACATGTTCCCCCATGGATTAAAGTGTGTTCATGTGCATCTTTGGAAAACACACTTTTTTATTCTTGGTTTTCAAATGTGTACAAATTTTTACCACATGTTTTGAAGTTTGCCAGTTTGGAGACCCTGTATCCAACTGCATCCAGGTCCACATTCTGTTCCAGAGGCACAAAGCGGATAGATTTTGGTAAAAATGAAATGGAAAAAAATCCTCACACCTGCTAATACACACACCCAGTGGGATTTCTGACAATGAGCTCAGCCCATCCCGGGTCAAGCTGGAGGGCAGGTTTTGGCCCTCAATGCCTTTGTATTCCCAGATTCTAGGTTTCCTGCACACACCCCACCAAACAAATAACCGGTAGCCATAAAAGAAAAGAAAGAGGGGTTACATGGGGATACTATTGGGGCCAGATCTATCATCCCATGTGGCACCTTTGGACAGCTGCCAGAAGCCTAAGCTGCATAGGGTCATGGCATCCCTCTGTCCGGCACTGAGCAGGGGGCCCACTGGCCCCTTCCAACTCTACCATTCTAGGGTTCTGTGACGTGATCTCAAATAGCGTAGGGATCAGCCACATGACGCATTCAGGAAAGTGGACAAGGCAGCAGCTCATGGGCAACAGAGCCAAAACAGGTCACTCCCCACCCTGCCCCCACTCCCAGCAAATCTCTGAGGGTCTTCTCCCCAAGACCGTTCCCACCCTATGGGACATTGCTACTTATGTCCCACGCCCAAAGTAGAGAATGCCTGTTGCAGCGAGCGGCCATGAGTTATGAAACTGGAGGGGCTATTCTCCCCCCCACCTCTCCCCCCAACCAGCTTTTGAACCCCGACAGAAAAGGTGCAGCCTGCTCTGAGCATGAGTGGGTTGGGTGCCTGGGGAATCTGGACGCGGGCAGGCCTGCCCGGCTGACCTTGCTAATTCTCAAATCTGCCCACAGAACGGCGATGCGGTGTGTGCGTGGCGTGTGAGAGAGAAAAAGAGGCAGTGGAGGGAGGGGGAAGAAAGCTTGCCTGGGCCCTACTAGTGAAGCAGTTGATTAAGATTCTGTCGGGCTGACGGATGGAGCCGGACATGAGCTAGGGAGGCAGACAGTTGCTTTGCATGCAGAGCCAGAGAGAAGGTGACGAGGGAAGAAAGAGACGTGGGCAGAGATCAATCACGGCACACACAATGGCAGCTTTCCTCCGCGACACCCCACGAGCCTCCAGCTGCCACCTCTCTCCCCTCCTTCCTAAATTCATACTGAGCTCCTGTCATCTTGCCGCCAGGATCTCCCCGATGCTCCCTGGGGGCTGGGGTGGCAAATGCCAGGTGCTTCCTCTGCCCCACGTCGTGTCCCTCCCCCCCTCCAGGCAGAGAGCCCTTGCCATGACAGCACGCAATGAGTGGGTCTCTAGCTGGCAGCTCCCGCCTGGATGTGGCTCCTTGTTTACTTCGTGTTCCTCCCGTGGCTATGAGTGATGGCTGTCCATATTCGGTGTCTAGCATTGTGGCTCCGAAACAGCTGGGTGGCTGCACCAGGTGCTGCCTCACCCGGCCATCCCCCCTCCGCCTGGACCAGCAGTCCTCCTCCTTGCCTCGCACTCCAGCACCATGGACAGCACCCGGCACCATGGACAGCCTCATCTGCCGCTGGAAATGCCCGTGGTCAACTTCAGTGCCACCAGGCTGGCTAGAACAGAGGTTTCCTGAGCACGGGCAAACTGCTTTCTTGGCACCATTCAAGGCAGTGGCACATAAACATGCAAGGCACCCAGCATTATGTTTCTCTAGGGACAATTATGCACCATCTGAAGAATTTTGGGTTCTCACATCACAGGAGAGGGAACAAATGATTTCTCCAGTACCACTCTCCTTTCTCCAGCACCAGGCATAATTTTATACACATGACAGCTTGGAGAGGGGCGGGGTAGGGCTGCAAGATGACAGAGAAGGTGTGAGTTTGATTCGAGAACATCAGAGCCCTGCTTAATCGCACCAGGGCTCCCTCCGAATGCTGTGGGCACAATGGCTGGCCCACACCTGGCACTTGTGTGCATGGGCACCCTCCCAGGTGTGTTCCCCAGCAGCTGGTGCACATAGGCATGTGCCCCTGAAACTGGAGGTAGCATGCAGCCTTCAGGACAAGAAGCCACATTCAGTTTTCCTCACCATGAAAATTGTGCATTCCCCTTTTTAAAGCCACCCAAATGGCTGGCCATCTCACAGTAGCAAATCCTGTGGTTTAATGATGCATCGTCTGATGCAGCGCTTCCTTTAATCTATTCTGAATCTCCTACCCGTTTAGCCCTCTCACCCTTTCAGGCAACGGACCTAATGGCTGGTGACACCAACATCATGGGGCAGCATGTCTGCCCTGGACATCTAAATATTTCCAGAGCTACCCATGGTTCTGAACCAGTGTTGGGGATCATGCCTTTAAAATCCAAACTAAAAGCCGGAGCGCATATATCACCCCTCTGGCATATTGGCATGACCTCCACAGGGCAATGCTTCCTTAACCTTTGGGGAGAAGGAAATGGGCTGCATTAAGAATGTCCTGAGGTCAAAGTGCAGCATCTCCAGGCGGAGCTGGGAAATGTCCTGCCGGATGCCATTGCTTGCCAGTGCAGGTGAGGGATTCTATTATATTTCAGCAACGTGCACAGATCACAGACAGACAGAGAGACAGACAAGGCAGGGCTGCTAGGACCTGAGGCAGGGGTGAGGAACCTGTGCCCCTCCAGTGCTGCTGAA